AGGGGATGTCCCTCTGCTGGGATCTGGGCCCTAGTGCAGGCCAGGAGCTGTCCCAGGCGCCCAGGGACAGCTCAGAGATGCCTTTTTTGGCAGACCTTCTCCTTTTCCGCCTCCTACCCCAGGGCTGCCCCACTTCCTCTCCAGCGCTGCCTGGGTACAGGGATCTCGCTTCCCCAGAAGGCTCAGTCCCTCACCGCATCCCCACAGATCTTACTCTGCAAGCGTCTTTGGCTGTGTTCTCAATTTTCCCTGCTCCTACACTTCATCCTTAATATAGGTTTTCGGGCATGAGTCTCCTTATGTTTATCTGTCCATCTGTCTCCCTGGCCCTTCTTCCTCGGGCTCCCCTTCTGCCCCCGCTGGTTGTATTCAGTCCCGGTGATTGGTGTCTGTCACATCTCCCCTCCACCCAGCCTGTGCCTGGTTCCTGAGATACTCTAGGCTCTGTGCGGAGTTTTACAAGTATCTTTCCATCCTCAAAACAAGCCTATAACATAGGTACTGCTCTCATCTGTTCACACGCGCCAAGCACATTGTAGCCTCAGGGCCTTTGCACTGCTTGTTCCTTCTGCCTCTTCAGCCCTCTGGATCTTCATATGACTCACTGTCTCACTCCTTCGGGTCTCTGTTCAGATGTCACCTTGTCATTGAGGCCTTACCTGACCACTTTATTTAAATAACTCCCCCACCCTCACCCCTTGTCTCCTTTTTCTCTTTACACTCCGTAACACTTAGACCCTGTGGCAGGCTATGTTTTCTGCTTGTTTACTTATTGCAAGTCAGCCTCCACTGGACTGTAAGGGGCAAGGGTGTTTGTTTGGCTTTTTCCTGCTGTTCCTCAGCATGGTGTCTGGCACATAGTAGGTGTTCAGTTTTCCATCGTATAAATAAAGATCCTAAGGCTTGGAGAGGTTAAGAAACTTGCCCAGGGTCTCAGGCGGTTAGTAACAGAGCCCGGCTTGAACCCCAAAGTGTGTGACTTTACATTTCCACAAGGGAAGTCCTAGGGTGGAGTTGGTGGGGGAGGCTGGCGAAAGGCTGAGCCACCAGCTGAAACACCTGGGCCTTTGGAGATGGGTGGGTCCCCGACAGCACACAGCCGGGCAGCGTGTGTCTGAGGAGCCCAGGGGAGCAGGGAGCCTGGAGGAGAAGCACACTCCTGCACAGAGGCCGGGACCCGCCTGCGTCCTCCCAGCAGGACAGGAGCTGCCACTGGCAGCGCCAGTGTACACCAGTAGTTTTCTGCTTGGGCAGTTTTGACTTCCAGCAGATTCCATACCCTTTGCAGTGGAAAGAACTGACAGCTTCAGCCATGGAAACTAGGGCAAGTCACTTCTCCCCAGGCCTCAGTTTCTTCATCTATCAAACAGCAGAAAGGGAGTTGAACTGGGTAAACTTCTGAGTCTCTTTCACTTCTGAAAAGCAAGGATTCTGTGATGTTTTGTCTTCAGATCCAGCTCACCTTCAGAAGCTGCATGCGCGGGTCCCCCTAGGGACCCCATGCCTCTTCAGCTCAGTCACCATTTTATCAAGCACTTAACTGGGTGCCAGGCCCTTGCCGTTTAGAAGCTCATTTAATCCTACAGTAGCACTAGAGGTGGGTACTAGTACTGTCCCCATTTTATACCGCAGAAACAGTACAGAGGGCACCCTTTACCTGGTTGGGTGGCAGGGCCAGGATGAGGAACCCACGAAATGTGACCCCAGGGCCGAGGCTTCTAGCCCGGGCCTCCGGTTGTTCTCTGCTCTCTGTCTGTCAGTGTGGCGGCTGAGGGACGGAGGCTCGGACGTGAGGGTGTGTACCGCCAGCTCTGCAGGACGGCCTGCTGGGGCTCCATAGAAGGCTCCGGCCTGAGGCTTTGACCTGTCAGCAGAGTGGTGTTGCTGCAGCCACCTCCTCCTCCTTGGGCCCTTTTTGTCCTTTTTGATCAAGGGAGTTGTAAGAAAGAAAGCAGCATCCCTGCCCTCAGAGGGTGAAAAGCACCCATTGGAAGCAGGATCACCACTTACGAAATAGTTTGGGGAATAACTTAGGGGAGAAAGGAATGATTTGGGCCCTGAAGGGGAACCTGTAAGCTTGGGACCCAGCCAGGGCAATGTGCCAGAGCCCAGGCCACTGGAAATGCCACAGCTCGGCCCCAGCTGTGTCTCCCTGGGCAGGGAGGGCTTCCTGGGGCCTGCTGGGCACCTGCTGCCCACCTGCTGCCCAGCCCTAGAGAGGGCGCAGCAGAGACAGGCCCTGCCAAGAGGGGGATGGATTGTCCCCGCTTGCTTGGCCAGAGGGACCAAGGAAAAAGAGCTCTGAGCCGAGAGTCAGGAGACCTGGCCCCAATTTGATCCTGAGCAAGTCATCTGCCCTCTTGTGTCTTTGTTTCCCCTGGAAAGCGGGACGCCATGTACCTGCCCTCATCTTTTGAGAGGGTGGATGTAAAGTTTAGAAGTTAATAGATGGAACGGTTCTATGTTTTAAAAAAAGCAAACGAGTAAAGAGCAGGAATACAGGGGTCGTTCCGTAGTGCAGGAGGGTGATTTGTAGCCACTGGGCCTGAAGGATTCTCTTGCCTGCTGCAGAGCGAGCCCGTAGCTTTAGCAGCCAGGCAGGCCCCTTGCCCTGCAGGTGAGGGTGGCTGGGGCTGCGCCTCCTCCCTCCCTCTCTCTGCTCTCTGTGCTCAGCTCTCCGGCAGCTCTTCCTGAACTTGTTTTTCCCAATCACTAATTAACTTCACGCTCAGGCTCCCAGGTGGGCCAACTCTCCTGGCTAACTTCTCCTCAGAGGGTGAGCTCCTGCTTCCCATGTTTCCTGGCAGAATTGGGATATGCTGTCCCCACCCTTACCCCAACCCCTTCTGTTTCTCAGGGCAGGGGCGGTGCCAGGACTCCGGACTCCAGCATTGCCACGGGCAGGCCTTTCACCAGCTCATCTCTGGATGGCCTTGGAGAGCCCATGGGCTGGAGCCATTTGCATAATGCCCATATCCGATCGTATTATCTCAGCAGTCCGGTTATCAGAGGAGGAAAAATGAGGCTAGAAAGCCATGTGAAATTTACCTTCACTGGGGAGAAGCAGGCAGGAGAAGCTCCGGGCAAAATTGTAACATAGGGAAAGTATGCCTACTATCCATTCCCCTGACCCCAACTGTTTCTGTTCAACCCATCCAAGTTCAAGTGTAAATGAGGTACACACATCCTTAAGGGTAAAATAGCAGGCATCAGGGAACTGACTGGGAACAAGATCAACACTTCAGAGACAGCTTTCCTGGGCCCGTGAGTTGACCCTGCCCGGGAGGGGGTAAAGACAGAGTAGTATGAAACGAAGGTACAGCCTCTGAAGTTAAACAGTTCTGAGTTCAAATCTTATTCCTCCCCCCGCCCCCAGCTGTGTGACCTTAGGCAAGTATGTAACCTCTCTGATCTTCAGCTTATCCTGCATAAAATGGGATGATGAGTCCCGCCTAACGTGGTCACTGGGAGGATTGAAGGCAATTGAAGCAGATACAGAGTCCTTAACAGTGCCAGGCACAGAAGAGACAGCTGAGGAATGTTCATTCCCAAAGTTCCCTTCTCAAACTTGTTCCTGCTCCAGAAGCCCCGGAGGTGCTGCTACTTGCCTCATTTTCCCAGATCCCCCTGTATTCTTCATTGGTGTTTTGTGGTACTAAGAATAAAGCGTGTCCTTCCCCTCCTGGTAAAGACTCCCAGGGAGGAAAACCTCTCTGAGTCCTCACTGGACAGGGGGCCCTTAAGGCCACAGCCAGGTGGAAATCAGGGTAGGGGAAGTACGGGGGTTGCCGAATGATCCTGGGGCCACAGATCTCCCTTACCCGTGCCTATTTAGGCTCAGCCCTCTGGTTAAGGAGGAAGCGCAGCCCCACCCACCAAGCAGGACAGGCAGCAGCGGGGGCACAAGACGGGACCCCAGCAGCAGGCATCCTGACCATGATGAATGGCAGGGCATGAATAACAGATGAAGGCTGCGTAGTTGGTGTTATTACACATGCATTTCATCTCCATTCATAATGACTGGACACTTAAACCCAGCCGTTTCTCTGCCGGGTGCTGCTGTCATCATTCTAGCTGAGATCCTAGCAGCCGTGGGGATCAGCTGCTGCAACTCTCTGATCCGGATGGTTCCTTTTTCTTCAGAGTTCACAGTCCCAGGAAATGTTATTTCGCGGGAAGGGGTGGGACTGGTTATTCTGGGCAGACCACCCTGTCTCCTGCCATGGTGCCTGTTGTCTTCCTTCAGGGATTTGTCTGTGCAGTCATGGGAACATCCCGGGGTGTCAGGTGGGAGAAGGGGGCTGTGGCCAGTGGGCTCAGCCAGCAGGAAGAGGCTCAACCTGCTCTTCCTTGCAGCTGCCTGCCATTGGGCGTCCTTACCACAGTGGACCGCAAACTTTAGTACGCATCAGAGTTACCTGGAAGGTTTGTTCAAACAGATTTCTCACTTCTCATTTATAGGTTTGAATGGGGTTTGAAATGTGCATTTCTAACCAGGGACTTGATGCTTCTGGTCCAGGACCTCGCTTTGAGGACCACTGCCGTAAGGCCTGGTTGCTCCAGCTGTGGTCTGTGGACAAACAGCCTCACTGAGAACTTGTTAGAAATGCAGAATCGCAGGCCCTGCCCTAAACCTCTTGGGTCAAAATCATAACAGGATTCTCAAAGAGTTTGTACACCCATTACACGAATGGGTTAGAGGTGGGCAGAGCTGTCGCAGGCAGGGCCAGGCAGCTGCAGTTCCCTGGCCAGTTGCTTCTGGGCAGGAGCGGCCTCTGTCTTCTGTGCACCATGACAAAGATCGGGAAGCATTGCTCTAGAGCACCCAAGCAGGTGGATAAAGCCCCTCTGAAGAGGGGATTCCAGCCCCTGCCTGTACCTTAATCCCACTTCTCACCCTCCAACATGCTGCCTGGTGACCCGTGTGCAGAGCCATCTCCCCAGCTGGCCCATCCATCCCTGTCTAACAGCTGGCCCCTGCTCACCTCCCCTGCCCACAGGTGGTGGCCTTCGCCTCTCTCTTCTTCATCCTGGTCTCCATCACCACCTTCTGCCTGGAGACCCATGAGGCCTTCAACATCGACCGCAACGTGACAGAGATCCACCGAGTGGGGAACATTACCAGCGTGCGCTTCCGGCGGGAGGTGGAAACAGAGCCCATCCTGACCTACATCGAGGGCGTGTGTGTGCTGTGGTTCACGCTGGAGTTCCTGGTGCGCATCGTGTGCTGCCCCGACACGCTGGACTTCGTCAAGAACCTGCTCAACATCATCGACTTTGTGGCCATCCTGCCCTTCTACCTGGAGGTGGGACTGAGCGGCCTGTCATCCAAGGCAGCCCGCGACGTGCTGGGCTTCCTGCGCGTGGTGCGCTTTGTGCGCATCCTGCGCATCTTCAAGCTCACCCGCCACTTCGTGGGGCTGCGTGTGCTAGGCCACACCCTGCGGGCCAGCACCAACGAGTTCCTGCTGCTCATCATCTTCCTGGCCCTGGGCGTGCTCATCTTCGCCACCATGATCTACTATGCTGAGCGCATTGGGGCCAGGCCCTCCGACCCCCGGGGCAATGACCACACCGACTTCAAGAACATCCCCATCGGCTTCTGGTGGGCCGTGGTCACCATGACGACGCTGGGCTATGGGGACATGTACCCCAAGACGTGGTCAGGCATGCTGGTGGGGGCGCTGTGTGCTCTGGCAGGCGTGCTCACTATTGCCATGCCGGTGCCCGTCATTGTCAACAATTTCGGCATGTACTACTCCCTGGCCATGGCCAAGCAGAAGCTGCCCAAGAAACGGAAGAAGCACGTGCCACGGCCAGCCCAGCTTGAGTCACCTATGTACTGCAAGTCTGAGGAGACCTCGCCCCGGGACAGCACCTACAGTGATACCAGCCCCCCGGCCCGGGAAGAGGGTGTGGTCGAGAGGAAACGGGCAGGTGAGATTAGGGGTGGGGAAGGAAGGCGCCTCTTCCCCCAGTGGCCGAGGGAGTTCCGAGGTGAACCTCGGCCTGTGGAGTTTGGGGGTGTGCTTTATTGTGCCGGGCTTTCCTAAGTATAAGATGTGCCTTTACGAGGTTAAAGTATAGAGGCCGAATTTCTCTATCCTCTGGCTGGCTCTCTGATAGCTTCCTGAACAGTTGATCTGTGGAGTGAATATTCCACCCAGTGTAGGCTGTGACAGGTGGAGCATGGGGCTCTATATTAGACGCCCTGGTTTCTAATCCCATCTTGGCCACTGTGCTGTGTGCCTGGAGGCCAGTCACTCACCCTCCCTAGGCATAGACTCCTTACCTGTAAAATGGGAACGATAACAACATTTTACCTCCAAGACTTTGAGAGACCCAAATGAATGACAGACATGAAAGCATTTTGAGAAGTTAAAACCACTTTACAAATGTCAGGCACTGTCATTATTAGCCAGAGAGCAGGGCAGCTGTTCTTCCAAGGCACAGCAACACATGAATCACTTCTTTCCAAACATTCAAGTCTGGTGTCTCTTGGCCTAATAAATGTGATAACGTAACAGCAGTGGGAGGCTGCCTTCTGTTCAGCACAAGCTAGATCGAGTCCTGGGCTCAGGGTGTGACATGGGATGGAAAGGGACCAAGGAGGGAGTGGCCCAGACAGTGTTAGGACAGGGAGGAAGGTGGAAGAAACTGGCATCTGCGTCTTGGAAGGAGAGGGCCTGGGCATCTGAATCCTGTCCTTCAAGGACGGGAAAGGCCACCCCGAGAAAGCCCACTGCCCCCTTTGTCAGAAACGGAGATTGGAAATCAGCTGAATCCCCGGCAACAGGGAGTTAGGCTGGAGAGTGGCAAAGGCATCTGGCCGTTGGGTACGGGCTGGGCTCCCGGCGAAGGTGTGGGATTCCTGGTATGGGAGCCGTTGGATGCCAGGACAAGGCCACTGGGGAGCTGGGCTGGGGCCAGGAGACTAAGGCAACAGCTCCTGACTCAGCTCTGGGGCAGAGTGGGAAGGGTCCTCCAGGGAGGTGCCTGAGGACTCAGGACACTCAGTGGTGGCCTGTTGGTATGTGTCCATCATCTATGCTGAGGGCTCCTCGTTCCCTGGGGTCATTCAGGAGTCTGGATCTTCCAAAGATCTTGAGGGAACAGCACTGGTCAGGCTTTCCTCTTCTCCCCCGCCAACATGGTACCCCTTCCTAATCCCCGAATATAACTCTCCCAGGGAATTTCAGCTGTGCTCTGAGGCCCATTCAGAGCTTAGAGAGAATCCTAATATCAAAATGTGGGAGTCAGGTTGGTTCCTCCGTGTGCACTGATCTGTGTGTGGCGGCTCTATCAGCCATGCCCCTGGGCTGGCCCTGACTGCTCAGCGACATTGAGGACCTGCTTGGCCAATGCCAGGGCCAGTGTCTTCAGGCCAAGTAGCCTCCCCTTCTCCAGACCCAAGGGCCCAGCTTCACCCGTACCGCTGCTCGACAGAGGCAAGGGGTCGGGACTAAGCCCACAGCAGTGGGGAGCTGAACCGGGGCTTTGTCCCACAGTGTCTTCCCCAGACACAGCTTAGCCCTGGGAGCAGAGGCTCTAAGCCTTCTGGGCACTGGACTCTGGTCTAACGCCTGGTATACAAGAATAACTGCCTCCAGGTGGTGCAGAGAGAGCCATGGATGCCACTTTGTAGGTTTAACCCCTCATCCCAGCAAGCCAGACATTCTCCTCAGGAACACACACTCGTCCAAGTGTCAGCCTGAGCCAGATCTGAGGAAGAAGTAGGGTCTGCCTCCTGCCTTGGGCTGATCTCACGGGGCAGCCCTCAGCAGGCCGACGGGGGGGGTCCCTGCTGTTGGGTGTCTGTGCCGTGGCTTCCTCCCCTAGGAATGGCCGTAGGCCAAGGCTGGTGGGAAGCCAACCTTCAGACCAAGCACAGCACCCTGCCCTTTGCCACTGCCCCCAGGCATAAGCCTCCTCCCTGGCTCTGGTAACATTCCCTCCCAGGTAGATCCTGCTCAGGTTGGGGAGTGACGCCCTGGGTCTGAGACCTGAGAGACCCCAGCTGACCCCGTGAGCAAGGCCCAGGCGGCCCCTCACGCAGCCTCCTTTCTGTCCACACCCTCCAGACTCTAAGCAGAATGGCGATGCCAATGCAGTGCTGTCTGACGAGGAGGGAGGTGGCCTAACCCAGCCTCTGGCCTCTGCCCCTACCCCCGAGGAGCGCCGGGCCCTGCGACGCTCTGCCACTCGAGACAGAAACAAGAAGGCGGCTGCCTGCTTCCTGCTCAGCGCTGGGGACTATGCTTGTGCTGATGGTAGTGTCCGGAAAGGTATGGCTCCCCGGGCCGGGCAGGTGGGGAGTCCCTGCAGAGCGAAGGCTCCCCAGTGCCTCCCACAGAGCTTGAGGTCTCCCACCCCTAAGACCGTGGCCACCATCTCCTCTGGCTTGTGCGCTCCTACTTTTAGAATGGGTACCTGATCTCTCAGTCCCTGGATTAGAAAGGCCGCCGGCATCCCAAAAGGGCACACGGAGCCCTCCCCTCCGGGTGCTCACAGGGAAGAGTGGTGCTAGAGGGTTGAGGGGACACCGTGACAGGGGCCCCTGCCCCTCACCTCCATTTCCATCACCTCCTCTACCTTCAGGCCCTGCTCTACTGCCGGCCTCTCCCTAGGCCCCCTTTAAACACAGCTAAGGCTTCCCGATAAGTCGTCCCGGGAGATGGAGCGGCACTCGGGAGCGAGGGAGCCTGGCACAGGCCCCACATCCTTCCATCATGCACTGAGGGTCCTGGAGCCAGGATGGGCTGACCCCGATCTGCAGGCCCCTGGGGTGTGCCTGTCCTCCTGAGGCAGGGCCAGGGTGACCAGGGGGCAGCGTGGCAGGGAGAGTGGGTCCCACCCAAAGAATGTTCTGAGGGATTTGGAGAGGTAAAGGGAGCAACCATTCTCTGCTTGTCAGGAAAGGGCTGAAGTCCCATCACCAGCCCCAAGCCTGTGTCAGGCACAGGGCAGAAGCTGGGCTGTGGAGCTAGGGGTTCCTGGCCTGGGGGAGGGGCACAGAAATGATCAAGGATGGTCGAGGGCCAGTGGTGGCTGAGAACAAGGGTCTTAAGACCAGATGCTTTTTCTAACCAGCTTTCTATCACCTTTTTGTCTTTCTTGCCCTTTGCCCTATGCCTGTGACCTAACCTACCTAAACATCCTGCCTTGTTCCAGGACAAACCCTGATTCCCCCCAAAGCAGAGCTCTTCCCAGGTTCTCTGCTACTTTTTAGCCAGCCAGATTTCCCATCCCCACTCTCCACTGACCCCAAACCCCAGACTGGGTTGAGTGACGCGGGGCAGTGGCAGCTGTAGGAATAGCCTGTAATGCCTGTGTCCCCTGGAAGATGTCCCCTGGCCAACCCAGGCCATGTGGGCTCCTGGGGCACCTTCCCAGGCCCTTTCCCTGGCCCTCTCAGCACCACAGTTCCCACGGTTAGACCACCCTGACTCTACCCAGGCCCTGAGAGGCATGCGTCCAGCTTTGCTGGGCACGGGTTCTATGGGGTGGCAGGAGCAGTGATCTGGCTCCTGGAAAGAGGTGGCCCAGAGGCCCCAGACAAATAGCCCAGACCTTGTACCATGCCTGTGTTCCTCTGTGCCCCCCATGCCCCAATCCTCGGGCCCTGGGTGTGGCCTTCTCTTCTGCCTCCGTACCGCCTCTCCTGCATGCTTGTTCAGGCCCAGAGCCTTGCTCTGGCTGGAGCGTGCTAAGTGGACAGCCTAGAATGAGCGGGGAAGGGACCCCGTCCCCACAGGACTCAAGCACACAGAGCTGAGTGCCGGCTCGCTTGCTCTCCTCCCTGAGCTGTCGGGCTCGGCGGAGGTAGGTGCGGAAGACGCTGTGTGTGCGGCCGTGAGGTGCTGGGAGCGGGCTGCTCCGGGGAGCGGGCTGCACGTGTCGTGCACCGGCCAGGGCGCCTGCGCTCCACCACCCTCGCTCTCCGGGGTACCTGTGGGGCCCGGCTGCTCTATTTTCAAGATGCCTCTACACTGCGTCTTGGCAACAAGCGTGTAGCTCAGCCAATTAGAGTGACCTTCGTGAGGGAACAGGTGGGTTGCTGGGAAACAGGCCTTGCTAAGCAAGCGTGGCAATTAACATCACCAAACTCCCAGCGCGCACTTGACAACTTTCCCCACGCCACACCGTGCCTCCCTTCTCGGTACGCGGGCTACATTTAGGACCAGGAGTGAGTGGGCCCAGGCCTCCTCCAGCCACCGGCACAGACCCCATCATTAACCCGCGGCTGCCCGGGTGTCACAGTGTCTGCTCCCTGGGATGAAGGTGGGCGAGGTGCTAATTAGGGCTTCTTAGGGTCAAGAAGGCCAATACTGGAGGCTGTAGGGTCTTTGTGCAGCTGGGCTGTCAAGGAGCTTAGGGGAACTTACCTGGGGATGGCATAAGAAAAAGGTCAACTGGCTATAGGACCCTGTAGTCTGTCCTCAGAAGCCCAGGTGACCCAGAGGTCAGGGAGAATCAAGGAGGGCCAGACCCCCCTAGCCCAACCCAGGGCCACCTGCCCTGCAGGGTGCCCTGGAGCGTGCATCTCTGGAGCTGTGGCTCACTGACCCCTGTGCCTTTTCTTCACCAAGGCTGTGAAAAGTCCCGGAGTCTAAACAACATAGCTGGAGCAGCTGGAACCAGCCTGGGGCTGTCTCCACTGGCATCGAGATACAGCTCACCCTACCCTCCAAGAAAGCTCCTGCTCACCCACCCCTTCCACCCCCTCACCAGCCCACCGCCCGGTCACTCTGCCACGTAGCTACACCCTGGGCTCTCGTCGCCTCCGGGCGCGCACACACCAACAGGCACACTCACATGCCCTCCCAGCCCTCCTCCCTCCTGGGGCCTGAAGGGAGCTGTGGGAGGGATGGAAGCGAATTCAGGCCTCTGAGCCTTACCTCCCAGCACCCAGCTCCCGGCGTTCAGCTCCGGAGCCTGAGAGCACGAGATTACTCCCAGGGCTTCGACCCCATCCCCACCCATACCGACCTCTTCCAGAGCCATAGGTGCCAGCACACCCAGGACCTGTGTCTTGGCCCTGCTTTTCTCTCAGGGTCCCACCAGGGCCGACGTCGTTGGCCAGGCACGTATGTAGTGGTACACAGTGCGCCTGGGACCGGTCAGCCTTGCTGGGGAGCCATGCTTGCGTTAGTATTTTTAACCACTGCAAATGTATTTCCATTCCTCGTGGCCTTTAACCGGTAACAAAACAGCCTGTCTGTCTGTCTGTCTGTCCACCCACACCCAGACCAGCAAGGAAAAGGCTGTCACATGGGGCATCTCTGCTGGTGTGAAGGAGGTTTGACTCCTTGGAACAGCGGTGCCCATGGGCAGTGCTGCTGGGAGAAGAGGCCTGATATCTTCCAGCTCTGGCCTGGGGCGCAGGTGGGGGTCCCTAGAGTTGTAGCCCCAGGCTTGGTGCAAGCCATGGGGGCACTGCTTAGGCATGGGAGGCCCTCCCTCTCAGGGGCCCCTGCCCAGAGTCAGCGGGTGACTCCCGGCGGCGGCGCCTGGCATCCCATCTGTGCCCGAGCTGCGGCATCTCTCTCCACATTGCTTCCTCTGCTTCCGCAACGGTTTTTCTTCCCTCTCCGGCTCCCTCATCTCCCAGCCCTGCCTCTGAGTCACCTGCCGCTCCCACCCAGCCTCTGTGTGCTGTATTCCTGCCAGAACCGGAGACTCATCTAATTTCTATAATTAAGTGTATTCATTTACCTAACGAGCCCAGAGCACAACAGGTTTGTGAGTCATTGGGTGAGCAGGGGTACACCTTGCGCAGGGGCAGCTGAGGGGATGTGGGAGAACAAAAGCTGTCCTGCCCTCACCTGGTGCTGCCACTTCCAGGAAGGGGGCCCTCCGCAGCCTCAGGAACGAGAAGCGCCTCAGCAAGACGTTTCCTGTTTCACCTGATGGGAATTAGACCTGACAACAGAGCCGTGCGCCTGGCAGTTTTTAGAGTCAGATTATGCAGCTTTGTGGAGGGAACGACTAAGTAGGGTCCACATCTGCTCCTTCCATGGTGGGCAAAGGCAGGATGGCAGGACAGCATTCAGGGATTCAGCAGAGGCTGGGAAATCTGGAGCCACCCCAAAAGGTGAGCTGGCAAAAAAGATCAGATTATTTTATGCAGTTAGGGGCGTTGTGCAAAGCCTGTGCCAGGAACACCCCCCCGTCAGCACTTCCCTTGGCCTTAGGCAGACAGGAATGTCCCTTCCAGGAAGGTCTGTTCAGGGTGGGCCCTGGGACACCCCAGCCCTGCTGTGGTCTGCAGGGCCTGCCTCCCTCTTGCTCTCAGAAAGAAGTGACCCCTCAGAGTTGAGAGGAGAGGATACAGGGGCCTCTGTGCAGCCATCCTTCAATGGGAACAGGCCCCTTTAAGTGACAGGGATGGGGAAGCCTGTGGAGCAGGATGGGGACAATGGGCCCCTCTCCCCTCACAGCTGACAGGTCCAGTCCTGCCCCTGCAGGGCTCCCTAGCACCAGGCGTCCCGGCCCTGACAGGGACACGATGAGCTCGGCGTCCAGGTTAGCATGGGTACCACAGCTATTTTCTCCTCTGACTCGCCTTTCTGGTTCAGGGAACTGAGGCCGCTATTTCTGTGGCAGCCTTCAAGTTGTCAGAAGCCCAAGTTTCCACGGCACCCACCGCCTCCTTCCCTCCCACAGGGACGGGCCTGCTCACAGCACCCCTATGGTGGGCACAGATGTCCCTGGGCAACAAGATGCAGCCGTGCCGGGCTGGAGCCCCTCATGCCTTGGGGAGGTGGGCTCTCACACGTCCCTCCCAGCTCCCTGGCTTCATAGGGGAGAGACAGGACCCAGCTAATGGGAGAACTGGGTAGGGCCTTCCCAGGGCGCTGGGAAGGGGTGGAGTGAGTCAGTGAGCCCTGGCACTACCGAGACCCCACTGTACACCAGGCTCTGCCAGGGACGTGGCTGCTGCACAGGCCTCAGGCTCACCCAGGCCCCAGGCCTCCGTCCACAGGAGAAGGCTCTCTCTCACCCACCATCTGGGAGTGGAGTTTGTTTTCCTTGGACTGGAGTGTACCTGCACCCACTACTTTGGCTCTTAGAAGTCCTTCCCTGGAGCTGGGGCCCAGCCCCTTCCCACGGAGCAGGGGGGCAGCCCGGGTGGGAGTTCACAACCTCACCTTCCAGTCTATCGGAGCTGCGACAAACCTGGAGGCCACTTCTCAGGGCTTTGGAGAGCAGGGGGCTGCAGCCTAAGGCCTGGGCTGGCAGGAGCCAGGGGGGAGGCAGCCCTTGGGCCAAGATTGCCCTTTCACAGAGCTTCCTGGGGAGGGAGGACCTCTGCTCTGGCCAGAGAGTGTCACCCTCTGAAATCCCTGCCACACCCCTTTATTCCTAGGAAGACCCCTCCCCAACTCTGAGGCCCCTGGGGATGGAGAGTCAACGGACACCAGTGAAAAGGCAGCCTAAGGCCATTACCAGCCAGAATGGGGTACTCTGTTCCTGGCTCTCGGCACTTCACAACCTCGCTGTGACTCCTGCCTCACTCCGTGCCCATCCAAGACCCCTCAGTAGCCCGGGCATTCGCACCAGTGCATCTTGGGCTCTAGTTGCCTACAGGAAGGCCAGAGGCACTCCCTCCATCCCCTAGCGGTGGCAGGGTATTGCTTAACCTATGCAGACAGGTTGGTGTTAGGAGTACAAGGCAAGGCCACAGCTCTCTCTGCTTCTCCTTGGAAATGGGCTTCTAAGAGCCTTGGACTTCTCTGATTTCCTCAAGGATGATACTCAGAGGCCCACAATACCAGTGGGCTGAGGGGCAGGGTTTGAGGAGGTGGCTGGGACACACAGTCTGAAGGAGATGGAAACAGCATCACCCCGAGATGAGAGTACCCTTTTCCTAGAAAAGTGATGGAGGTGACCAGGCAGCCAGGGTAGAAGCTAGGAGGTCTGGATGCCGAATCTGGCCCCCACTTGGCAGGAGCCCTGGCCCTGGCCCTCAGACCCAATGGTTGTAGGGGTTGTCCCAGAGTGACCTGGAGGGGGCTGAAACTCCCACCCGTGCTGTTGACCCAGATCTGCAGCCAAGACAGCAGCATCCCTACCTGCCCTGCCTGTGCCCCACTGGGGAGGTCTCAGAAGGGAAGCCCAGGTCACACACATCCCAGGCTGAGGATGGGATCCCGATAAGGGCTCTCTGAGGGGTCGGGTTTCTCACTAAGATGCTATTTCCTGACCTTCTCTCCTGAGACAGGCACATTCGTCCTCCGTGACCTTCCCCTTCAGCATTCACCTGAGGCTGCATGCCCTCCAGCTGCTGGGACTCTGTTCCTGCCACAGTGAGGAAGGGGGCTGGGCACGACATGGCACCATACTCAGGAGCCTACTTCACCAGCTCCTTGGGACAATGGAACATCCCAGGGTGGTAATGGCAGATGGAGCTATTTGGGGGAGAGCTCAAGCTGGACAGGCACCAGCTGGGGTGATGGCCGATGAGCCACAGGCCACATCAGGAACTTTCCCCACTGCCTCCATGCCAGGCTACAGGGCTGTGGTCCCTCTCTCCACTGCACTGGAGCTTTGAAGACCTGAGAGGCTAGTGGTTCCTGGAGCTAGAGGTTACCTGAACAGGTATGGAGATGAGCTGCAACATCACCCAAGTCATCTCAGCCCAGAGTTGGGTTGGCAGAGGGGTGATGAAGGGCTCACCCCATTCCCTGACCCATCCCTGCTCTTCCTGGCCTCTTAGCCCTGGGTTCCTCATGCCTTCCAGCTCTGCTCCTGGCCTGCTCCTTAGCCCACAGCCTGTGGGGCAGCAGCTGGCTTCCTTCTAACATCTCATTCTTTGTTTCTACCTTTCCTTTGCTGAACTCCCTGCCCCCGCTCCAGAAGGCAATGTTGAGCCGAAAGTGTGCGTCCCAGTGTCTCACACCTGTGCTCTTTAAACACAGAGACCTGCCAAGACGCCCTCTCGTCCAACTATGCCCAGGCTGAAGTCCTCACCCTCTCTTAAAGCGGCACCAACGTGAGAGAGACAGGCAGACAGACAGAAAGCCAGAGGCTTAGGGAAACTCTGGAACCCAGGCAAGAATCTTTCGCTGGGAAAGACTCAGATATCCTTGTTTGCACAGGACTGGTGGAAAACCTCCCATGCAACCCTCGGGGCCTGGAGCCATCTGGGTCTGATGTTCTACTGTACATTGAAGAGATATATATGCACATATAGTATCTATATTCATACATACTATACCCTTGTGTGTAGTGCACGTGCTATTATTGGTGGTTCGTCTTTGTTAGGCTGTGTCTCTCCAGTCCCTTGCCCTACTCTGAGTTTCCCATCCCCTTCCCCTTCTCCAATTCCTTGTTTCTCCTGACCACATGTGTGGAACGTCCCAGGAAAAGTGCACCTGGGAATCGCCAGTCCAGCGGGTGGCCCCAGGCTACTCCCTCGGGGGTGTTCCCCCTGTCAGCAGGTGGCCTGCTGAAGTCGATTGAAGGCCAGATTGCCCTCCAGGGTCACTGCTCCACTGGCTGCACCCCAGTTGTGGGGCCACTTCCAGGGACTCCTCTGCAGACTCCTCTACTCCTTCCTCCACCCCTGTCTGTGTCCTGGACCGAGGGGAGCATTTTGTCTCTTTTTATTTTTTATTTTTCTGTCTCCTTTGTATGTTTTCAAAGATGCTGCTGGGCAGACGGGCAGGGAAGGGGTCTGTCTGCCCATCTGGCTCAGGGGTCTGAGAAGGAGAAGCCTCGGGCGAGAGGAGACCAGTTGCAATACTGTACTTCCTGGCCAGTGGCCAGAGGATGTGTGCAATAGCAGAGGCCAGGTGACCCCTTCAGCCTTGGCCTCTGCCCCTCCCTCGGCCTTCCCTCCCCACCCCGTTCCTCCCTGCCCCTCCGTGGTGTTGGTTAGTCCTTTTCTAAAGCTGTCTCCTTGTGTGTGTTCGAGGCATGCCTAGGCCGGGCCTTGCGCCCTGTCCGCATGCCTTCAACTGTCGTGCTGTGCTCGAGCCCCAATAAAGACATCCGGAGCGTCCTGCTGCTCCTGCCGTGTGAGCGCCTGCCTCCGCCTCTCCTTTCTGGCTCTGTGTCTGTGGGGACCTCCCTGGGCTCCCACCCTCAACACCTGAGGAATGCAACACGCTCATAGCATAACCCTGCCCCACCCCGCATTTTACAGCTGGAGACTGGTGTCGGAGACGAAAAGTCATCTGCCCAGGGCCACACAGAGAGGACTACCCCAGGACCCTGACCCCCAGGCAGTGTTCCAGTCTCCACTGCTGCCCCTGAACGAACCCCTGCCGCAACATGGAAGAAAAAATGGGTCTTGTTTAAGGAATTACTCTGTATCCCCGCTTGTGCAGGAGCCCTCTCCTCCGCCCGCAGTTGCACCAGTTCTAAGTGGGCCAAGGCCCTGGGGACGCCACAGTCATTGCAATGACTGGATGGCTGATGTACTGAGGCCAACTAGGGACCCGTGGCACGGCCAGGGACCACTTAGGGATAGGGAATGAACACATCCTGGGCCCAGATAGGATGGGCCGTGACCGTCACTGTTGTCCCTCTCACACTCACACGGGGCACACACAGGGCCAGCCTCGTGGGTGTGCAACCTGTGCAGTTGCTCCGAAGAGCCCCATATTGGATTTAGTGTTCAGCTGTCGCCATCATGAAATTAATAATTGTTGAACACAGGGCCCTGCATTTTCATTTTGCACGGGTCTCTGCCAGGTCCGAGTGCACGTTTGTCTCTCCTTATCCTTATCTTACTCCTCACTCTCTTACTCTGGGCATAAACTTGGAGTCACAGAGACCCCAGTTCAAAGTCTTGATCTGCCACTTGGTAGCTGGGTAACTTGGAAGCCACTCGCCAGACCTGTCTTCCGGTGTGTGTCAGTGGGGTTAATGACAGCACCTGTTTCGGAGACGGTGCTGCGGTCGACATGCAGTGGATGGCAGGGAGGGTTGGTTCCCACCCCGTCCCTGTAGCTCTCGGGCTTTTCTCCACAGATGTCTGAGATCTCCACATCCAGTCCCACCAAGAAAGGACAAGAGCACACCTGGGAGCTATCTGGGGCGGGGTAGAGATGAACAGCGTAGAACCCCGTAGAACAGCAGAGTGAGGATGGCATGGCCGAGGAGAGGGCAGAAGCCAGGGGAAGCCTGTTCCTGAAGCGTGAGAGAGAATCGGGCTCAGAGCCTGGGTAGCAGGGCAAGGCGGTGGCAGGCAGCCAGTGTCAATTAAAGATAAAATCTCTCCTCCAGCCGTGGAGGGCAAACAGGCTGCGGCCCCCCCCAGACAGGAGAAAGCCATTTGCAGCCAGGCTCGCCTCGCAGAAGCTCGGCCAGGCGATAATGGGATGGGATGCACTGCTGACTCCATAATGACATTACGCATCGGGGCCCGCGTCCAGAATGGCTGTTTTCTTTGTAGATGAATGTGGAGCCATTTCATGGTCAGGGGCTAAGAACCTGGCCAGCAGCCCAGGGGTACCAGATGCCACGGTGCTCCTGAGAGGACTGAAGGGGATACAGCTGGGGTCCCCGGTGACCCCTGAAGACCCCTAGAGGAGGAGAGGGCCGTGTGCAGCGGGGCAGAGGTCGGTGAGAGAAGCAGACTGCCTCTCCTCCCCACCTCGCAGGAGCAGCCGGCAGTGCTGTCCAGGAAGAAGAGCTTTGACTTCCTCTGGCCCCTGAAGCTGGAGTTGAGCCCAAACTGGGGAGCTGGTTAACGGAACAGGACACTGGTGATCGAGACAGACTTTTGGAGTCGGGCAGACTTGGGTTTGAGTTCTGGCTCCATCACCTCCTAGTTGTGTGACCTTGGGGAAGTTACTTAACCTGTCTGAACCTCTATTTCCTCAGCTTTAAAATGGGAGTGGTAACAGTCTCCACCTCCTAGAGCTGCTGGGAGTGTATGAGCAAGTGCCTGTGAAAGCTTGAGCACAGTGCCTAGCACGTCATCGCTGCTTGCAGGGGGGAGTGGGGGGGGGTGCTGTGGAGCTACATGCTCCAATGACAGATGACCAGTTTGGTTCGATGTCCTCACTTTTTCAGGAATCACCATCATTTCAGTGAAGCCCTTACTTATCTCCTTGTGAAAGAGGAAGAGTGGGGATGAGAATACCAAAGAGCTGACATTTATTGAGCGCTCGGCAATACATTTAAATGCTCCTAAGAACACATTCCAAGATTGGTGTCGTCATTACCTTTGTTTCACAGAGGAGAAAACCGCAGCACAGCAATGTCAGGTCATTTCTCCAAAGTCACACAGCCAATCAGTAGCCAAGCTGGGATCCAAACCCAAGCAGTGTGGCTCTGTGGGCCCAGTGCTTAGGCACTGTGCAAACTGAATAGGGCTTGTGAGTCATAACCCCTCGTGTAGGGGGTTGTGCCTTTAGTGTTTTTCATTTCCTTAATCTTAATTGATTCTCATAGCAGAGATACTGTTCTTCCCTTTTATAGATAAGAAAACCCGGTGGGGCGCAGTGGCTCACGCCTGTAATCCTAGCACTCTGGGATGTCGAGGTGGGGGAGGATCACTTGAGCTCAGGAGTTCAAGACCTGCCTGGGCAAGAGCATAGACCCTGTCTCTACTAAAAATAGAAAAAATTAGCTGGCATGGTGGCATGCGCCTATAGTGCCAGCTACTTGGGTGGTTGAGGCAGGAGGATCGCTTGAGCCCAGGAGTTTGAGGTTGCTGTGAGCTAGGCTGACGCCACAGCACTCTAGCCTGGGCAACAGAGTGAGACTCTATCTCGAAAAACATAAAAATAAAAAAAAAGGAAAGAAAAAACCAAGGCTTGGGGAAGTGAATGATTAAACTCACTCTCCCTTGTATGTTTGTGTGCACACCCCCCACACAGATAAAGGAAGAGGACGTCTCCTCAGGCTTCGTTAATCAAAAAGTGGGAGGTAACACCCAGCCCAGGGAGTGATGGGTTCCTTCCCTCTGTGACCCCACTGGAGTTTTATTATCTGACACACAGAAGAGGGTGAGTGGGGTTGGACTGGTCTGGAAGCCACGTTACATGAGAAGCAGCTCAGCCTCGAGAAGACTGGGTGGAAACCCGATCCCCACCTTCAGGTGTTGGAAGGGCACCAGTGGAGAAGCGTGTTTGGATTATTCTCTGATCCCAGATCTGGGACCAATAGGCAGAAATGTTAGAAAAGCAGATGGGGTTTAAGTAAAGAAGAACCTTATTTTTTGTTGTTTTCCTGGCTATTACAAGTTTAATACAAGGTATTGGAAAGCATTTCATGCCAAGTCAATAGGGAAGCCCCTGTCACCCTCCCTCAATCCCACTCTCCTCCTGAGAGGTGACACTGTCAACATCTGATGTGGGTCCTTCCTGGCTTTTTGAAAGAGAGAAGCTTTCTAACAAAACTCCCAAATCAGAATGGGCCGCCCTGCAGGGTGGTAGAGGTGCTGTCCCTGAAGTGTTCAGAGACAGTGGACGATAGTGTGCTGTGCCAGGCGTTGTTGGGAGAATTTCCGCTCGGTGCGGGAGGTGGGATTAGGAGACCTCTGCCAGTTCTAACACTTCGACGTAGCGGCCCCCCGCCCCAGCCAGTTAGTGGTGGAGGCAGGTCTAGGACACAGGGCTCCAATGAGCTCCTTTTCCAACTCTGTCTTCCTCAGACTCCTCTCTGCCTCTTCCCGGCCCGTCAGGGGTGGGCTTGGGGTTGGGATGCAATCCATTGCCCACCCTCCTGGGGCCCCTGTGGCATCACTGCAGTGAGCACTGTCCTTCGTTTTCCAGCTCCAAGTCCTGTGTGTGGACACACTGATACCCATGCAACAGGTGGCACACGAGCTAGCTCAGTCACCTGGGGCTGCAGTGACCACACCCAGGCCCGGGACAGCATGCATCACGCCAGACGGCTGCCAGGGGCTCCAGGGACCTGGATCACTCCTGGACACCCTCATTTGGGCCCAACCCATCCTCAGAGGCTGAGGAGCCAAGAGGAGGGCTGCAGCTCCAGGTCATCAGCCAAAGGCCTTCTGTTGTCCCTGGAAGCCTCTCCTTTCCCCACAAGGTTGTGGGCCCTGTCCGCCCACGCTCCTTGTATCTGCCTGCTTCTCCAAGGATTCCTGGAAGGGTAGTGGTTAGCAAGCATGTGCTTTAGTATGGGGCTACCAGAAATACAGGCTTCTGCTTTTGGCTGAGTGATGGTCCCTGCTTTCTAAATTAGCAATCTTTGGTTGCCGGCAGCGGGGGCAGGTTGCTTCCTTTCTCTTTCCACACACTTTCCTAGGTGACCT